TTTATTTAATCGGTATTTAAAGACAGAGAGGTGTATACGCCTGAAACTTCTTGTAAGAAGAGAACCTCTGTTTATATTAATAATATGTGCATAAAACAGCTCTCAAGTGATAAGGTTTGATATTTTGCTACGGCTCAGTCGGGTGTGAAAACTTTTCGGGGCCTTCGAGAAACAGGCCCCAGATATCGAACCTTCGATCGTTCTAAAATATCTGCGTAATGAACAGCACCGGAACCAAATTAAAATTGTACTAGCGATGTATTTTAATATGCCGAGCATATTTATAAAAATTAGATAAATAAAGAAAGAAAGCGTTAATTACAACGAAAGTTGGGTCGTAAACAGAATTATAAAGTAAAAAGCTCCGTAGAACAATATAAAACAGAACGAGCTTTATTAGACCTACTAACCTCTAGTCAGACTTCAGACTTTCATTCTACAGCTAAAACGAGAACTATCTTGCTCGTAATATTGCACAGCTTAGCAGTTTTGACACGCTAGTATCACTGACTTCCAGTATGATATATTTTTGTTCAAAAAGTAATTTCTCTGCTTGCCGACTGTTTATGAAAATCGAGCCGCTCAGTTGTGCAGAAAACAACATCCGGTTTGACTCTAATTGCGAGAGAATATGTTTTCATGTGCAGTTACAGAAATGCTTGGAGGCATTTAGACCCAGAGCCTTTAATTTTTCACAAGATATGACGCGTCGCCCGGGAAACGAGACGCGACGGCCGAAAACCCCTTCGAAAAATCACAAATCCTGAATCGGTTTCAGACAACGATGTTAAATGAATACACATAAAGATATTTTTGGTTTTTCGCTTTTCATCTCTGTTGTTTGGGCTTCAGGGCATCTCTTTTATATCGTTCACATGACATCAAAAGCATTCCCATGAAACTTGACGCGCGACTGAAAAAAGTGTTTCCCAAAGAACGGGATGAGGCAAGTGAAAAATCTGTAGGATACATGTAATCAAGAGTGGGATTCAAAATTAAAATGGCAAATAAATAATCGCTATATTTCAAGTTTCTATGATATTATTTCTGCAAGAAATGCTGCAGGAGGAGACATTCCACTCCGGAAAGCCATTCACAAACTATGCATTTGAACAAAAACTAGAGAATTATTCACGCCAGCCTGCTTTCAGATATACCCCACATAGGTTAATCTAGAAATGATCCTTCACAATTTACACTTTCAAACAATGTAAAACGAAACATGCTTCATTAGCGTACATACTTCAGACTTACTTTTATTCTAGACAGCTAAAACGGGAGCTGCCTTGCTTGCAATATTGCGTAATTTACAGTTTAGGCAAGTTCCAAGCTTAACTAGTATCACTAACTTACAGTATGATATATTCTTTTTCAAAAAAGGAGAAAGTAATTTCTCCGGCAGCTTGCCGACTGTTTATGAACAGTGCGCCGCTCAAGATAGCAAAGTTGCGCAGAAAACAACCTGTTTGACTTTATTAAATTGCGAGAAAATATGCCTTCATCGCAGAAATGCTTAGGGACATTTAGACCCAGTGGCTTTAATTTTCACAATAGATGACGCGTTTACCAAGAAACGAGACACGGTTGACGAAAACTGCTTTGAATAATCACAAATCAGTTTTGAAGAACAATAATAAAATGGATACTTAATGATATTTTTGTGTTTTTCGGTTTTCATCAAGGCATTAGTGTTACATTGTTCACATGACATCAAAAGCACTCCCGTGAAACGCGACGTGCGCCTGAAAAAAAATGGTTTGGTTATCACGAATCGGATTCAAAAAACGCACAATTTTGTTTTGTTGCAGAAAATGTGTTTCCGTTTACAGTGCCGCCAAGCACCGTAAGGAGCATGCGCTAGTTGTGTCGTCACCCAACGAGTCCAGTGGGCTGACGAGTTTCCATGACAACCCAAAGACACGATCAAGAAACGGGATAAGCCAAATTTATATCTTCTGAAAGATCAAGAGTCGGATTCAACATTAAAATGATAAACTAACCCTTAGGCCAAAACTCATTACTGCCCACATTGGAATATCTCCACGTATCATGTTTATGAAAATTGCGCCGCTCAAGATAGCAAAGTTGTGCAGAAAACAACATCCGGTTTGACTCTAATTGCGAGAAAATATGTTTTCATGAGCAGTTACAGAAATGCTTGGGGGCATTTAGACCCAGCGCCTTTAATTTTTCTCAAGATATGACGGGTCGCCCGGGAAACGAGACGCGACGGCCGAAATTCCGTTTGAAAAATCACAAATCGGTTTCAGAAAACGATGTTAAATGAATACATAAAGATATTTTTGGTTTTTGGCTTTTCATCTCTGTTGTTTGGGCTTCAGGGCATCTCTCTTATATTGTTCACATGACATCGAAAGCATTCCCATGAAACTCGACGCGCGGCTGAAAAGATATTACAATAGAATAGTATAGAATAGTCATAGATTTAAAAGAAACAAATAAAGAAAAAAGAAAATACCAAAATAAATTTTATTAGTGCTCACTGTTTATTGTCTTTATGTCGCAACATAAACAGTGTATCCTTTCAGGTGCGTGTTTATCGAGTTATTATTAGTATAACTTTGACAAAACGTAACACTGAACCTGTCTTAACCTTCCCGAGCATAGACGCAGCTCGATCAACGGAAATTCACTTCAATTATTTCCTTTTGCTAAAGATATCTGAAGAGCAAATTGTACTCATCCCTTTTCTGTCCACCAAAATATCAATATATGTTGTAATTTCAGACCTTTTAGACTGGTGATTAAAAACTGTAGAGTTATAAAACGTGCATAACTCCTGCAGGGGTCCGTTTCTCGAAAGCCACGGAGACTTTTCGGGCCCGCAAAGCCATTTTTATTTAATCGGTATTTAAAGACAGAGAGGTGTATACGCCTGAAACTTCTTGTAAGAAGAGAACCTCTGTTTATATTAATAATATGTGCATAAAACAGCTCTCAAGTGATAAGGTTTGATATTTTGCTACGGCTCAGTCGGGTGTGAAAACTTTTCGGGACCTTCGAGAAACGGGCCCCAGATATCGAACCTTCGATCGTTCTAAAATATCTGCGTAATGAACAGCGCCGCAACCAAATTAAAATTGTACTAGCGATGTATTTTAATATGCCGAGCATATTTATAAAAATTAGATAAATAAATAAAGAAAGCGTTAATTACAACGAAAGTTGGGTCGTGAACAGAATTATAAAGTAAAAAGCTCCGTAGAACAATTTAAAACAGAACGTGCTTTATTAGACCTACCAACCTCTGATCAGACTTCAGAAAATGTGTTTCCGTTTACAGTGCCGCAAAGTGCCCTAAGGAGCATGCGGTAGCTGTGTCGTCACCTAACGAGTCCAATGGGCTGAAGAGTTTCCATGACAACCCAAAGACACGATCAAGAAACGTGATTAGCCAAATTGATATCTTCTGAAAGATCAAGAGTGGGATTCAACATTAAAATGATAAATTAACCATTAGGCCAAAACTCATTACTGCCCACATTGGAATATCTCCACGTATCAGTCATTTATTGAAAGTGTCATCGGTAGCCAACACTGAGGCCCCGTCCACACGTATCCGGATATTTTTGAATCTGCAACTTTTTCTTTCCGGATACGGCTTCCGTCCACACGCATCCGGCGAATTCGGCAGCGAATCCGGATATTTTTGCTACGTGTGGACGGGGAAGTTTTTGAACCCGGAAAGAAAAAGTTGCGGATTAAAAAATATCCGGATACGTGTGGACGGGACCGGAGAGACGCTTTTTCCCATAAATACAACCGTTAATAGTTTCATTTGGACAGTGTATTTGACGGCTGATTCAGGTAAGATCAGATTCACAAAGTTTCTTTTTAAAAATTTGTACTAACCTTGGCTCTTTCTTTGAACCAAAATACCAACAGGAATAGCTTTAATTGTGTACCATTTTCTTGGCACGTTTTGGCACGCTTTCTTGGTACATTTATACCAACATTTACGGTGGGTGACAGAATTTCTTGATTTGATCTCGATATTGCTTCGAATTGTGTATTATGGTGAATTTAGTTTGAATGCTAGACGTAGGTTAACCTATCGTTGCTGTCCACTGAAGTTTGAGAGGCAGCCCTTGTTCTAGTTTGCTTTAGTTTACATTGCTGGCACTTCACCAAATCTTTAAGATTTCAAAAATCAATGAATTGCGCTTTTCATTCATACATAACAAAATCCTCGGACAACATCAACCTTTTCTGCGGGTTAAGCAGGAACTGGTTTCATTTCATCAACAAAGCTGCAGAATGCATGTTAAACATGCCCTCATTCACAGCGCCTTTTCTTCTTCCTTGCAGATCCTGTTTTCAAGCATGAAATATCTGACCGTGTTGTGTATTACCCTGGCCAGCATGCTGTGCTTCACAAACGCCGATAGGCACTGGAAATGTGGCTGCAGCTGCGATTTCTATCCTGAACCAGTCGGTGATCAAAAGAATCCAGGTTTTTCGTGCAAAGATATCTTAGAGAACAATGAAGCAGCGCGGAATTACGACGGTATTTACTGGATCACCTTGTCTGGTAAGTTTGGTGCTCGCTGAATCTCTTTTGTGCTTGTTTTCCAAATTTTGAGGAACTGATCTGCGTTTTGGCTTATCGATTTTCTCCTTAAAATATCTATGAACTTCCAAAGATCATAAACTGAGTTTTGATGTGCTACTAAATTCACATAATTCTGTTCACAAACTCTAGAAATGATGTTAGTCATATTCAGTTGATTGTTTCAAATTAAGATTTCCAATAACGTTCTATCTCCAAAACAATAATTACTGGGCACTTTTATATTTTATAGATGTACATATTTTTTTTTCAAACAGATCCTCAGGAAGCCTTTCCAGTGTACTGTGACATGGCTGGTGGAGGTTAGCACTAGATAAGTTAACACTAGATGAGATCCCCTTTTCCTTGCCCGGACATCGATTTAAAGAAATGCCATACTAACTGCTATTCCTTGTTTTTGTATCCATCAGGCTGGACCATGGTGTTTAAGGCAGTATCTGGATGTGACGAAATTGCGCATGAAATCTACACGTCGAGTGAAACATACGCCGAGTACGAAATGGACGCTCTTGACGTCACCAACCGGTATACCAATGACTATAAGAACAGAATCGTTTTGAACTGGTGTAGATTCGGTGCGTCCGAGGTAAGCATAATATATTTAATGTTTACAAAGGTAAAGCGCTTCAGGAAAAGCAGCGCTCTGTTGTTTTAAGGAGAATTTAAAGCGCTCCATAGCTTTTTTTCTTATTACGATTACCTCGTGATTGATGGCTGAACTTTTTTTTAACTAGAAGTCGCGTTGCATGTAGTATGTGATTTAATTTGTATGCTTGATTTTACTGCTCAGGCAAGAGTGGTGCTATATGAAGGAGAAGACCCGGTTAAAGAAATGATATTCAACGCCAAGGAATCAGACAATGAGCATTGGTTCCAATTCGATAAACTGACGTCTGAAATTCCCTGGGCTGACATGAATGACCAGCCACAGAACCGCTTTGCTATCAAGGAAAGGTTTAAACGCAGCTTCATCATCAACAGTGAATATGGTCGTTGCCCCAAAGACATTGGTTGGATGGTGATCTCTGGAGGCGGCTGTCCCTGGGAGAGGCACTTCGGTCGAGACTCTATCTTATACAGCAAACTGACCGGTCGCACCAACTGGAATGTTTACGGTAAGTAATTATAGAACAACATTGAAGAAAAATGTCCACACTGTTCAACGACGACGTGGTGAAAATTTCGATGTACAAGGGAATAGCGCGCGGCTCAACCCACGTTCCTTCCGGTTTCCATCGCCCTTAATATTGTAATATTTCATGTACAAAGCGTTTGTAAGAAAAAATTACTAAAGATATCATCGGCAACCTTACAGAAGCACAGACGCAATTTTTAAAAGTCTCCCAAATACAAGCGTATGGGATAATACTATTTACAGTTAACCCTTCAAGTTCTTAAAGCGATCAATGCAGTTTTTTCTAATTACCCTTATCCAGTCATTAAGCTGAATATGAATATGGTGAAACCATTTCCAATAACGTGCCCTTCTGTTTTTGGTAGTTCTCACTTCAACTCTTCTGTGTCGCCATGTAAACAGGCAACTGGTAGTAAACCTTCTGTAAATTTTATTTCTTATCCATCTTAAGGTTATTTGAAGTAAAAATAATAAATAACAATAAATCATTATTTTAAGAGGAGGCCTCCAACCACCTAGAGGTGGTTTTCAGAAGGGTCCTCTGAAAAAAAAAGTCTAAAATATACTTTTCATGTCTAAAATAAAGAATTAATTGCTTTAAGGTGGCTCCCTATAGTCTTACGATCGCACGCGCGTTGAGTTCGAAAGCTCAAGTAATCTCCGCGCGCTAGAGGGAAAACGTCAGTGTTTTCCGACATTTATGACGTCAACTTGAGCTCAAAAAGCAAACCTGACAGTGAATTTTCTCGCGTTTCCGTCGGCGAAATTCCCTAAAATTTGGCAGACTGGTAGTAAATATTTCATTTAAGGCAGAGCTCGTTTTCCAGGGAAATCTGTAAGACTAGTTTTTTCGCAGCGGTAATTTGCCGAAATCGAGAAAACTGCCTGTACAAACCCTAATTTTTCGCGTTTGAATTCGCATCCCACAGGATGCGATATGCAGTGAAAATTTTGGAAGATTTCACCGAAGGAAATTCAAGAAAATCACAAAGAAAGCCATAAAAACAGTAAAAAACACATTTGTTTGGCAATAATAATTCAAGACTAAAACCCAAAATTTTAATAGAGATGATAGTAAAAGATTATTTAATCATTGCTCATTACATGTAATAAGTTTGAGAAGACTGGGTGTAAAAACGAAAACAAAAACAGCATTCAAAACATAACACTTGCGCGCGCGCAACGTCATAAATGCATGATTACCCTATGAAGCCGCCTTGAAATACGTTTTGTTTCTGCCCCATTCCGTTCTTGGCTTGCTAATTTTGGGCAAGTGTTTCATGNCAGTGAAAATTTTGGAAGATTTCACCGAAGGAAATTAAAGAAAATCACAAAGAAAGCCATAAAAACAGTAAAAAACACATTTGTTTGGCAATAATAATTCAAGACTAAAACCCAAAATTTGAATAGAGATGATAGTAAAAGACTATTTAATCATTGCTCATTACATGTAATAAGTTTGAGAAGACTGGGTGTAAAAACGAAAGCAAAAACAGCATTCAAAACATAACACTTGCGCGCGCGCAACGTCATAAATGCAGATTACCCTATGGAGCCACCTTGAAATACGTTTTGTTTCTGCCCCATTCCGTTCTTGGCTTGCTAATTTTGGGCAAGTGTTTCATGGGCCACAATCAAACAACTGAACACACAAGGAGTACGGGTGCTTCGCTTATAATACAATATTTGTTTCACATTGCAGAAAACGTAGGAGTGGCTGATACCTTGGTTGTTTTCCTGCGTTAAGGTAAGATCGAAGTATTTTGGTGAAACTTTAATGATTGTAGCTAGCTTGGTATATTTCATCAAGTATCACAATTTCTAATTTACTACAAGCTTCGACTTTTTGTTTTGTCACGTGGTGTTGTATGTGTGGTTTGTTGTGTAAAACTGAGGCAAATCAGACTACTCTCACTAGAAATTAAGGCAATTTGAGAGGCGTTCTATTTATAGCGAGGTTCAAATGAAGTGGAGTAAGGAATTTTGAGGTATAGATCGATTGACTGTTAAATCAGTGGGACAAATCATATTAAGATCACAGCACTAAATAAAGTCCTACATGTAAATCACATGAAGTAATTTCCTTCTTTTTTTTAATTTCAGAAACAGAACCACAACTCACGTGCACACCTGACCAGTGACCGGAACGAAGAAACCTGATGAGGCAGTAGATTTGAGTTTGCTTGCTGTACTGGCAGGGTTATTGGATTTGGGATTCGCCTATTGCTTATACCGTAAACTGCCGCTTATAAGCCCTGGGCTTGTACAACTTCTTAAGGGTTTTCAAATGGCTTATAAACGGAGGGGCTTACATCCGAGGGGGGTTAT